TATTAAAAACACATAGTGATACCACACAACTGTTGAAAACAGGAAATGGAAATATGCTGTATCCTCCTTAAACAGAAGGATAATTGGAAAAGGGAGACTGTAACTATCCATAGTGGAATTAACATACCAATTGTTACCCTGTGCACCATGGCATCTGGCTGGACTGTTGGAGAGAGGCCAACTCTAGCAGAACAGTACCAATACAATGATACCAGAACAAGGATTCCATTAAGACAGTAAAGAAAGATTCCCACCCACCAATACCTGATATGCAATCAAAAGGCATGTCTAGACTGCACGCCGTGGAACCCCTTAAAAAGTGCATTACCTACCACATAAATACCAGTGTACGTATCAACTCCTAGGTTAGTTAAAGCCTATTGCAAACCACAAGTGCTTGTGTCCTGAATCAGAGCATCTAGACTCACATCCGCATATCTAAACAAGCAAGACCATCAGAGCACTGAATCACATACGGTACAACATCAGGGGCTCATACAGCTGCACATCCGCTAAATGTTATATGTGCCATAAATTATCAGCTATGCCCCTCTGCCATGTATATTGGCCAAACTGGACAGTGTCTATGACAAAGGATAAATGGACACAAATCAGACCTCAGGAATGGTAACACACAGAAACCTGAAGCGGAACATTTTAACCTGTAAAAGTAGCCATCCTTCGACAAAGGAATTTCATTCACACATGACAAAAAACATCTGCAGAACTGGAATTTACACTAGCTGGTTGGCACATTATAAAGCCAATTTCTCCTGCCTCTACCATCTACATTTCCACATTAAAAGCTATGAATGGGACACATCCAGCCCGCTTCATTAGCCTCAATAACATTGGTCCTACAATTGACAGGTACTTCTTCTGCTGTTAGTATATTTATTGTGTTTTCTGTTATTTCCACTCCAATTTATCTGATGAAGTGGGTTTTACCCAGAAAATCTCATGATACTATACAGCTGCTCCCTGATTTACGACCACCTCCACTTACGACCAGCCACACTTACGACCAAAGTAATCATAAATGCGGATCCGAGTTACGAACGGCGATCCGCGCTTACAAACAGCGTGGTCGCCATGTAATTCTATGGGATCTGAGTTACAAACACTTCGAGATATGGACCAAGTGTTGGTCCATAACTTTTTTGTAACTCGGGAAGCGGCTGTATATGTCTCTAAGGTGCTGCAGGACAACTTGTTGTATATACAACTGTGTTAATTACTTTGAGTCAATTAGCAATCAATTAACTCAAGTTAAACCAGTGGTGCAGACTCAAGTCCAGACCCACTGCAAAAGGATCAGGTATCGACTCAAACAAGTCCAAAATATGAAAGGTCTCAGAAGGCATTCGGAAACCAGATTATTTCCAGATCATGTACACTGTCCCTTGCTCTTTTTTCCTCCAGTCTATTATTAAACAGACAGTGGCAGCAGGATAATGAAACCCTTGGTTCTCCAGATGTATTCTCCAGCTCTCACCTGGTACAGAAATTGGCTGAATACATCTCATCTTCATCCTTGTCTCAATAATCATAGGCTATGCATAACAATAATGGCTGATTACGCTCCCCCCTCTAATGCCTCCTTTCTCTATTCCTTTCCCTGACTCAGTAAAAACCTTGAGCCTGGCACACCAGCTTAACGCCAAGTGGTATGGCATCTACTCCTGAAATGCATAATGAGGATTAATCCAGTACGCATCCGGAATGCTCCAGGCGGCATCCCCATGACCCCATGCGGATAAGATACTTGAAACAGAGTCAGGAGGAACAATTAGCATTCTGATGGGCTGATGCACTCTGGGAAGCTCCTTTATCAGGCACTCTGGGCTGGCTGCAGTGGTGGGGGAAGAGGTGTAAGTGCATATATCCGTTGGGAGGGTGGGGGGGGAGGAGAATGACTTGGAATCGATAAGAGCATGCACGTTCCGCACCTGAACAAACACATAATCGTCTTGCACGATCAGGGAATCTGGGTCAATATAGCCTGGAAATGGTTTGCTCCGGATGGCTTCCGTGCAGTTCTGCATCCTGCAGGTGATGTACTGTGCATCTGAAATCACAAGGACAACACAGATTAAGGGTCTGGCAGAGGGCACAGGCCTCTTCCATGGCTGCAGTACTGGCTCTCGCTTTCCTCCTCATTTGCCCGGCCCATTCCCTCATTACTGATTTCGGTTTTAAAACATCCGCCTGAAGCTCTGGGTGTGGTCTATAGTTCATTTATAATATGGTAGCACCTAGGAGTGCTATTTGTGGATTGTACCCTTCCTCCCCCCGTGCTAGATGCTGTACAAACACTGTACAAAAAGAGTCCCTGCCCCGAAAGACCGTACTATCTAATCAACTCAAATCTAATGTAAACTGAGGAATAAAACATGCGTAAGGAGCAGACTAAATCAGATTCTCGGCAGTGCATGAGAAGCACACAGGGCATCCAAGCGTCAGGGTGGCCACAAATAACCCTCCTACTGCAAACTACCCTCCTGGGGCCATCTTTGTGCCAGCCCCAAAGCTGTGAACTTACCCCCACATTTCTCACAAGCCCAAGGTGCTACTCCAGAATTCTAGACCAGATTGTCAAAGAACTAACTTGATAATTCTCCTAAATTCAATGGTATTCAAGACGGCAGTAGCATCTGAGGACAGCAGTATGTCATGCCCCTGTAGGCTTAGCCCCATGCTGAACTTTAAGCATGTGATTAGTCCCCATCAACTCTGTGGAGTACTCACTCATATACTTGACACAAAATACCTGCCTGAACCTTTGAAGAATCCGGGGCCTCTCACAATAGAGAAGATTCAGCACTTGGTTGTGACGGCTAATAGCGCATTTAAAACAAACAAAAGAACATACTTCTTTACAGAACAGAGTCAACCTGTGGAACTCCTTGCCAGGAGACATTGTGAAGGCCAACATTATAACTGCATTAAAAAATAATAATAAGTTACGTTCACAGAGGACAGGTACATCAATGGATATTTGCCAAGGTTGTCAGGGATGAAACCTCACGCTCTGGGTGCTCCTAAAAACCTCCAACTGCTGGATGCTGGAACTAGACCACAGGAAAAGTATCACTCGAAATGGCCCTGGTCTGTTTATTCCCTCTGAAACATTGTGCATCGGCCACTGTAATAAGGCTAGATACTGGACCGTTGGTTTGACTCAGTATGGCTGTTCTTATGTTCTTATGACTAGAGAGGGGATTCTTTCTTGAGGCTGCTGGACCTTGTGGTCCTTCTTGACTCTCTAGTTCCCAGGTTGACTAACCTAGCCTGTGCCATGTAGTGTCACAAAATCTCACAAACTCATGAGGACTTTTGGCCACATCTCAAGGGGCTTGCCAGCTATACATTGTGCCAAGTAAAATACCGTCGAGGATTATGGAATGCGTCAGAGTGAGAATCAGGACCTCGGTCTTATATTTAGGCTTTTCCAGCTCAATTAAGCAGTCTGTATGAGGACCAAGCTCATTTACAGAAAGAGGGATTTTAGCATTAGCAGTGGTATGACAAATTCTAATTGGCATTTAATCTTGAAAGTACTTCTAATCGTCTTCCTCTTTGGAGTACTGCAGGCCTTTGCTTGGTATAATTATGCCCCTCTGAACAGAGAAACAACATTTTTTTTCGCTGAAATTGAAACGGCTAGCTTTTCATTCATTTTCCACTTAATCATGTCTTTAAAAAAAATAAATCCATCCTTTAAAAGCTTTTTCCTTATTGCCAAGGATGTTGTCTTCTATTTAAAACACAGACACACAGAGTGCAAATCTATGGTATTATTAAAGTCAGATTTCTCGTGGATGATTCGGGCCCCGCGTTTGCAGAGCACTTTGGATATATAAGGTGCTAAATATTATTAATCCATGCAATATAGAATTCTTGTCTTTTTCAAAACACATTACAAACCACTAATTGATATAATCCAAATATCATGAGACTCTTTTTTAGTTCTCCACAATATGCCTTTCTTTAGACCAGCCACTGAGTGGCAATAGAAGATTTGCACACTAGCACATCAAATGAAAACAAGAAATCTCCCTTTGCTGGGTCATTGCTCCATGGTCCCTCTGAACAGGAAACTACAGAAGGAAGAGGAAAGAGAAGGAAAAGAATACAAGGTGAGGAAAAGCTAAGGGCTTTTCTCTTTACAATTTCAGATCATGTGAAATAAATCCACCTCCTCATGAAAGAAGGCCTTGACCCAAAGGCCCAGAAGCAAACACATCAAAACGGCAATATGTCCTGGGACAAATGCCTTCCTAACCCTAGCCATTGGTGTTGCCTGACCCATGTGATCAAGGATCATGCTACTCGTAACAGCTGTGGTTTGGATGGCTTTCTGGAGTCAGGACAGCTTATTTTCCACTCCCACGCCTTCCCTTCTACTTGTGCTTTGCTCCCCAAGTCCCAAGTTCTCTCATATGCAAGGGAAGACCATTCTGAAATGTTCTTCACTCCAGCTGAGCTGACTCCCCCTGCTGCAACATGTGCATCTAATGACCACTCTTCTACTACAATCCAGACCTGGGGCTGGCTTTGCTCTAGGGACACATATCAGATTAAAAAAGGAAGGATTGCTGCCTGCCATTGCAAAATGCTCCTAACTGCTAGTAATTCCCCTGCAGTCATTATTGAGACTAACTAACACTAATGGTCACTGGAGCAAAGCATGAGATGCACATTCTTTTGCTCCAGCAAAACTCCCTTTGACTTGGAGCCCAGGAATAAAGGGAACCAAGCTTTGCAATAAATGCCCAATCATTCTTCTTCCCTTGGGGCTTTCATTGTGTCAGCTGTAAATACAATCTCTTCTGGCATTCAGTTCATGGGGACTTTTTATGTGATTCCATAGGAAGAGCCTTGTAATTTAGCATTAATTAATGTCAATGAATGTATTCAGTTGCTAAGCTCTGGAATTAATTTCATTACCTTTCCTGCACAGATGTTTTCCCTGCCATGGGTAATTAGGGCATTATGCTTCTCATTTCCAGCAGCCTCACCTCTTAACAACAGCTGCTGCTTTTAATCCACACCACCACCACCAAAACCCTGCTGTGCCTAGAGACACTGCAATTGCGATTTTGCTCAGAGAGGGATCCAAAGACCTGTGAATTAGACCACGATACTTTCTTGGGCACTGGCCAATGCTAGATATTTCTAAAAATGGTGCGAGAAACCTTGTGATAGATAATGAGAAAATAGGCTTCCTATTGCCATAGGGGAAACACCAGGAACAAAATCTGCTCCTGTCAAGGAGAAGCATCAAACACGACTCTGGGTGCATCTGGAGTCTCACAGCTGTAGAAGCTGTATATTAGGAGGTCTTGATCCATTCTGGCTCAATCACAAGCAGTGCTAATGGGATTTGCAGGGAGCCGTGTCTACTCCTCCATGATGATGTGGATGAGATACTGGGAAACCAGGTGCCAAAATGTGGTTAGACTCTATAAAATGTTTGTAAGTTGCTGAAGGCATTAATCTTCTTTGCAACATCTGGATCCCATGCTATAAGGTAATACGCAAGTTTTGCTTTATCATTGTAAAACTCTCCGCTATCAAGGTGTGAACTTAAGGAGGAAGAGTGGTCCATCAAGAAGAGACATCAAGATGGGCCATTGTTGGACAAGGGTTTTTTTGATTACCCTATCCACCCATGATGCAGTCACATACAGGAGATCTCATCCCATAGGTTTGAACTCTAGAAGAGGAAGGCGATGTAACGATGCTCATAAGAAGAAATGGTTTGTTGTTTGGATTCTTACAATGGTTGGAGCTAAGAAACAAAAAACAGCGATTCCTAAGGTCAGCATGGGTTAGCCCTGAAAAGACATTCAATGGACAGATTGCTATCTCTATCACCTTTTGGAACCATAGACGGTCACTGAATATGTTGCCCACTTTAACACGTAATAACTCTCATTTATTTTTCCTAATTAACAAATATGCCATGGCTGTGTCTACACTGGGCCACTTATTCTGGAAAAGCAGCCGCTTTTCCGGAATAACTTGCCAGCTGTCTACACTGGCTGCTTGCTTTTCCGGAAAAGCAATGACGATCTACTGTAAAATTGTCAGTGTTTTTCCGGAAAAACTATGCTGCTCCCGTTTGGGCAAAAGTCCTTTTCCGGAAAAAACTGTTCCGGAAAAGGGCCAGTGTAGACAGCACAGTAGTCTTTTCCGCAAAAAAGCCCTGATCGCGAAAATGACTATCGGGGCTTTTTTCCGGAAAAGCGCGTCTACATGGGCCACGGACGCTTTTCTGGAAAAAGAGCTTTTCCGGAAAAGTATCCTGCCGATGTAGACTTTTCTGGAAATACTTATAACAGAAAACTGTTCCGTTTTAAGCATTTCCGGAAAAGGGTGCCAGTGTAGATGTAGCCTATTAGTTTACTAGAAGGTTGTCTTCCAGCTTTGTCTTTGGGGAGACATCTGGAGTACAAACTGATGTGTCAGAAGCAGCTGGTCTCTAGGGACTGGGAGCAACCAGAATAGTTTGTGATTTTTGGTGTGATTGGATTGGTGAAATCTAATTATGGAACAGAGCCAGTTTGGGGTCTCTGACGTGCTTTATGACAGTCTGTGCTGAGGACTGTACTCATGGTAGTGAACCTCTCGAGACAGTTTGACAGTGGACATGGCTTCTTAGAGTTTGGGGGAGTTTCAGGGGCATTGAAGGACGCCACCAGCATGAAGAGAGTCAAATATAAAATGGATTCAAAAGCCCTGTGGGACATCCTGCTCCAAGAAATTATTTGGGATAACTCCTCAAGGTCCTGAGCCACCAGTGATGTCCACAGAAAGCCTTCCAGGGATTTCACTGGTGGTTGAATCACGTGACTGGACAGTAAGGAAAGCTGGACAATTTATTTGTAACATACTACTCTGTGAATTGATCCCTTTTTTGCGGGGTGAGGGTTTGGTTGTTTTTTTGTAATTCATTCCAGAATCAGTCTCAATTTCTGAAACTTTGTTTGGCAACCACAAGCGTTAGCCAACCAGTTTAGACAACAAATGTCCAGCTGACATAATGTTGGTGAACTGTTCATT